GGGGCCTGGACCCCTGGGTCTGAGGGAGGAGGGGCTGGACGTTTAGCCCCAGTGGTGCTAAGTGAGTGTCTCCTCTTTGGCTCCCCCAGTGCCGGTTCCCACCCATACCACAGCCGCAGCCCCAGTCCCTGCCCCAGCACAGGGGGCAATGCCAGGGAAACCTCGGGGAGAAGGCACCGAGCCCAGAGGACACCGAGCTGGCCCTCAGGAGCTGGGGAAGATCCTTCAGGGTGTGGTGGTGGTGCTGAGTGGCTTCCAGAACCCCTTCCGCTCAGAGCTGCGGGACAAGGCCCTAGAGCTGGGGGCCAAGTATCGGCCAGACTGGACCCCGGACAGCACGCACCTCATGTAGGCCTGTGCCCTCCTCCCCTCCATGCCTCCTGCTGTTTCTGCCCCATCTCCCTCTGTCTCCTCCATCACGCTCCCAACCGCAACCCTTTTTTTTTTGATGTACAAAAAAATGTTTATTTGCTAGCTCCGTCCACTGAAAAGGCATAGAAACAATAACCAACATAGCAGCAGTGAGCACCCTTAGCACCCTGTGTCTGCATCGTTTATGTTGTGCACGCTCGCTCTCTCGCGCGTTCTCTCTCTGTCTCTCTCTCTTTCTGTCTCTGTCTCCTTGTCTCTCTTAGCCTCTAGCCTCTACGTCTGTTTCTCTCTGATTTCTGCATTTCCCTCATTCTTCTATCTTTTTCTGTTTCTCCCATATTGATCTCACTGTCTCTTCCTCATCTTTCTCCCTCTCTCTCTGGCTCCCCGTCTCTCTCTTTCCCCTTTGCCCTTCAGATCACATCTAACTGACACCCCTCAATTCTGCCTCCCACCAGCTGTGCCTTTGCCAACACCCCCAAGTACAGCCAGGTCCTAGGCCTCGGAGGCCGCATCGTGCGTAAAGAGTGGGTGCTGGACTGTCACCGGATGCGTCGGCGGCTGCCCTCCCGGAGGTGAGACCTCCCTGCACACATATGTGCGACACACACTCGTGCTCACACACACCCCAGCCCTTGTGCTTATCCCGTGCTGGGCAATGCCAGGGATCTGGAGAGAAAGCAGACAGGAGCCTGCTGGCGGAGAGCACAGGCGGTCCAGGTCCCAGCCCAGAGTCAGCAGGCTCCTGAGAGGAGGGCAGAGGCCATGGGACTCCAGATCAGGGAAGGAGGTCTTGCCTGAGAGGGTCACAGAGTGCTCTGTGGAGTCTGCTTATTGGAGAAGGAAAAGGACCTTGCAGGCTGGAGGAACAGCAGGTGTGAAGGCCCAGGGCTGGAGAACGTGCATTGGGGCCCGTTCATTGTCATTCAAAGCAACTCCTGGAAGCCTCTGCTCGGTGCCAGGCTGGGCTGTGCAATGCTCGGGATCCAGACGTTAAGCCCTGCCCTTGAACGCCCCTCACTTGGATGAGGGGTCGGACTTGTTGTCACAGTGTGGTCGAAGGCCCAATCGGAGTCCCACAGTGAGTGAGGGCTTTTCGAGGATGAGAAGAGGTTTGCCAGGCTAAACAGCCAGAGAGCCTGCTGGGTGGAGGAGACAGGTCAGGGCAGCCTGGTCTCTGCCCCGAGGAGTTGCAGGTGGGGCTAAGCTTACGGTGGGAAGCAGGAAGTGGCAGGAAAATGAGGTTGGAGCCGTTGGAGCCGTAGGAGCCGCGGAAGGGTTTCGAGCAAGGGCAGGATCAGACCTGAGGCCTGTGGGCGGGAGGAGAGATCCGAGTCGGACTCCGTGGCCTGAGTGTGCTCAGAAGTCACACTCAGCTGCACCGGGCGTGTTTGACAGCCCATCTGCACTGGGGCAGAGTGAGGCTGAGAGGCGTGTGGGGCCAGCTAAGTAAGGGCTTCTAGTGCCTGGCCGAGGTGCTAGGCTCTGGCCAGTCCACAGGCTTTCATCTGTTGTTCAGGAATCCAGACACCTCTGGAAGCTGGAAGTTTTTCTAGGTTTAGCACAAACATTTGGCTGCACGATCATCATGAACTGATGTGTGGCTATGTATGGACTTTGTTTATCCCCGTAAGTGTGTCATGGTATTTACCACTGAAATACTAATGGGTGTGATTATGGGAACTCCCCAGACTGCACTGGAGGTGTCATAATAATCTATATGCTTGCTGTTTACATCTCTAGAATCTGAAAAATTCAAAATCTTGAAACCCATCCTCCTGTGTGAGTGGGGGAAGCCACGGAAGGTTGGGGACAGGGGCAGGCTCTGCTGGGAGAGACAGAGCGTCAAGGGGAGTCTGCAGGTGGGGACCCCAGGGCAGTCTGGGGCCTTGGGGGTGGAAAGAAGGGATGGATTTGGGATATATTCAGGGCAGAATAAATCAGATAATAAATTTGGTTTATTATCTGCCTGGGAGAGCTCAAGGAGGCCATGGCAGAAAAGGGAACAAGACAAACAGCATTGGATTTGCAACTGGGTTTTAACAAAAAAAAATTCAGGAAGCATTTTATATTTTAAAAATTCAACTATAAGAGGAAAGACCCCAGGGAGATGGCTCTTCCTACTATAATCACAAATTGAGGCTTTTTTTTTTTTCTTTTTTTCCTCTAACCTGCTTCAGAGAAAGAACAGATTGAGTTTTAAAAAAAATCTTTTGGATTACAGAGCACCTGGAAGAAAAAGTTTAGTAAAGCTACCATTGACTTTTTTTTTTTTTAACAAGACGGAGTCTCGCTGTGTCACCCAGGCTGAAGTGCATTGGCACGATTATAATAGCTCACTGCAGCCTCAAACTCCCAGGCTTAAGTGATCCTCCTGCCTCAGCCTCCAGAGTAGGTGGGGCTACAAGTGTGCACCAACATACCCAGCTAATTTTTAAATTTTTCTGTAGAGATGGGGTCTTGCTATGTTGCCCAGACTAGTCTCAGACTCCTGACCTCAAGCAATCCTCCTGCCTTAGCCTCTCAGAGTGTTGGGATTATAGGTGTGAGCCACTGTGCCCACCCTGTTTTTTTTTTTTTTTTGATTAAAATTTATTTTTAATGCTTAAGAATCACAACCATGGACTCTTAATCAACTGCTACACTTTAAATCCTCTGCATTTCCCATGAGCTACCATTTTACAATGCGTGTCACTTACCTGAAGTGTTTCACCAGCTTTGAAACGACCAAATCACAGGCAGAAGGGTCCTAATGCGTGAGCCTCAGGAAAGTAAAACCAACATTCATCTGTTTCTGCTGTGTACTTTGCCCTGTGGTTTGGGGCAAATTAATTAATCTTCTCTCTGTGCCTTAGTTTCCTCACCTGTAAAATGGGGCTAAAATAGCACTGACCTCAGGACTCAATGCCTGAATATTTGTCGAGTGCATATAACAGCGCCTGGCTCATAGGAAGTCCCATGTAAGTGTTAGCTGCTGCCGATGCGAATAGAGCTGGGAAAGTTCTTTTCCTGGACTGTCAGTGGCTTACAGAACCGTGAATACAGTGTGGGAGTCTGTAAAATGTATTTGCTTTTGAGACTTTTCTCTTAATTGGTAGGCATTCTCCTAGTGAGAAACTGCCTTTGATTCTCAAAGGGGAAAGGTATTTCTGATTTTTCTTTCCTTTCTGAAATGGGACATTTCTTCCCCAAGAAGGAAGGAAGAGAGGGTGTGCTCGGGTCTCCAGTGTGGGGGGCTGCGCTGGCTGGGGTTCGGCAGGGCCTTCCTGAACTGGGAGAGGGGGGCAGGCTGGGGGAGAGAGGCCACGATTCCTACCCCGAGTGAGTATTTAGTGAATGCCGGTAACTCTTGCTTCCTGAACATCCTCCCCGGCTCCTCGGGGGACTCGGTGTCCTGTTTCTCTGAGGCCTGATTCCTCCCCTAGGTACCTCATGGCAGGGCCAGGCTCCAGCAGTGAGGACGAGGAGGGCTCTCACAGCGGCAGCAGCGGGGATGAAGCCCCCAAGCTTCCCCGGAAGGTCCGATGCCCCTGCCTGTGTTGGGGAGGGTTTTGGGGGAATGGCATGGGTCTGCTGTGGTACCCCAAACTCTTCACTCCTGCCGTCACCACCCCCGACTCACCCACACCCCCTGTTCTCCTCACCGACTGACCCTCCCTCTTCAGCGCCTCCAGGCCAAAACCAAGCCCCCACAGACAGCTGGACCCAGCTCACCCCAGAAGCCCCCAACCCCTGAAGAGATCAAAGCAGCCTCACCCGGGCCCCAGGAAGATACTGACATTGAGGGGGAGCAGGCAGGTCAGAGTCTGAGGGAGGAGGGGGACCCCTGGGTCTGAGGGAGGAGGGGCTGGGGCTGGACCCCCGGATCTGAGGGAGGAGGGGCTGGGGACCTGGACCCCCAGGTCTGAGGGAGGAGGGGCTGGGGCTGGACCCCTGGGCCTGCGGGAGGAGGGGCTGGGGCCTGGACCCCCATGGCTAGAGGGCGAAGGGGCTCAAAGCCCGGACTGTGGGTCTGGTGGAGGTAGAGACTGGATCCCGGACAGATGGAGCAGAAGGAGATGGTGGCTGGGGTCAGGATAACTGCATCTTGGAGCAGCTGAGGTGGAGGTTGGGATGCTGGGTCTGTGCCCAGGTGCCATACTGGAAGGGAGGGTTACTAGTCTTCCGGAAGACAAGGCAGTGACTTGCGTTGACTGAGCCTCTACTTGCAGAAGGACAGGACAATGGAGCAGAAGATTCTGGGGACACTGAGGATGAGCTGAGGAGGTAGGGTTGGGGCTGGGGTTAGGGCAGCCCAGCCTTGGCTGCCGGGGGGCTGCGGTGCATGCTCACCCCTTACCGCTCTCATCTCCCCCAGGGTAGCCGAGCAGAGGGAACAAAGGCAGCCCCCTGGCCAGGGGGAGAACGGTGAGGACCCGTACGCAGGCTCCACGGATGAGAACACGGACAATGAGGATGACCCGGCATCTCCCGACCTGCCAGTTCCCGAGCTCCCAGGTCGGAAATCCCTCCGTCCCTGCTGCAGTGGGATTTTGCCCTCAGTTGTGACCTGCCCCGTGAGATCCCTGCTGTCCCCATGACTTGTCTCCCTTCTTTACCCACCCGCTCCCTACCTGAGCCACTTCCACGTTCCAGGCTTGTTCCTCTTCCCTTCAGCATCTTCTCTGTTCTCCCCTTTTTGTCCCTTCCTAATTTCTTGCTCTGACCGTGCCCCCGCAGCCCAGTGCCAGGTGTGACCCCCTTTGGTGTTCCATACAGGTGCGAGCGGCCCTGCCTCATGCCAGTGCTTCGCCCCCAGGGTCAGCTCTGCTGGTCCAGGGGGAGGCTGGCACTCCGGATGGCATGGGCACTGCTCTCCGTGGGGACCTCGGTGGGGGGCTCACCAGTGCTCACTTTAACGTTGGTCATCAGCCCAGACACAGATGCCGTCTGCACGTGTGTGTGTGTGTGTGTGTGTGTGTGTGTGTGTGTGCACATTTCCATTATAAAAGAAAAAGAAATGGGAAAACTCTGCAGGGGGGTGTGGGAGGGCAAGGGAGTGAGAGTGTCTTTGAGAGTGGAGGGAGCAGAGGAAAGGCAGGAGGGTCTGTCCGCTCCGAGGTGAGGTTTGGGGCCACCAGAAGAGCTGTTTCCACCCTGTTCCTCTGGGCGATGGGCAGGAAAGTGCTCTGATCCTCCAAAGCCAGGAATGAGGGTCTGGAAAGTCACGTTACAATGGAAAGAGGAGCCCTCGGGAGGTCAGAGCAATAAAGGCCCTGGCGAACGGGAATGGGAGCAAAGGTGAAGAAGTGGCAGGTGCTAGAGTTTCCAGCCCTGGC